TAGTGTGTGTGAGTTTGTTGGATTTGCCTATTATAATTGCCATTTTAATTCTTGTGCATTGAGGGGTTGGATTAATTGTTTCCGCTGCTGCTTGTTTATATTGGTTCAATCCCCAACAGTCTGCCACGTGGTAACAACATAGCGGTTCGGCCAACACGTGGCGGATGAGGTAGATGGGTGAGGTGGAAAGCCCCAGAAGGCTCGTAACAGCTGCCAAATTCCTTTTTATCATTTTTGGATTGATCATTTTTTGGTTAGTATATCTCAAAAGGCCTTACGAGGTAGCAAGAAAGAGAGTTGTTACAACAAAGCTGAATGCTGAAAATGGTTGTAGGAAGGCAAAGGAAGAGCATTGCTTAATATATGCTTTAAGCCTGAGACTATAATTCGGTTGCCATTCATTGTGCTGGCAGCCGTTGGAAGCAGAAGCATGTGATTGTTGCATAAAAAGGGTATTCAGGCCTAAGTTTGGTTGTTGCAAATGAAATACATTTCGAGAAATCCAGTCAATCTAATTCTCTGTGTCTGTGGGTTCCAATATAATTGGGCCCTGAACCAGTGGCTTATATTCGAAACCTTGCTAACCCCCAACCTGCCCATCTCAAAAAATTCCAAATAATTTTTGGTGACAAAAAACATTATCTAGACATAACTATGCTACAAGAAATGTTGCATCTTGGATGCTGCGTCAATATTATAATCGAATTCATTTAAGCCACAAATTCTGCCTTGTTAGGCAGCTCAACTGACATGCTGGCTTCAAAATGCCTTGACTTTCACCTGCCAAATTAACATTCTTAATGAATCAGGACACCACTATGTCTTCAGATAGAAGAAAAGGACATGGCTTGGCTTTTTTTCTTGTGGCTCTTAGGAATTGGAACTTACAAGATCATTTTGAACATGTGCTTGGACCCAATGTGTCATCAAACAACTTGACATAAGAAATTAAACGGCTCAAATGCAACGCAAAATCAAACGGTGCCACCCTCTACACCTCTCTTCCTCAAACTTCACATGGGCTTGTACCCATACATGGATCCCCAATTATAATGCTGCATTTAATGGATTGTCCCCAGCTCATAGCCTAATCAATATATATAAGCAAACCCCTCTCCATTTTTTCAACACAACACAAAACAAAACAATATCATTCCAGTGTTTTCAAGATCAAAAAAGAATCCTCATCTCATATTTCCATTAAAAGACCTCAGAGATCAAGATGATCAGTTCCAGAAAACTCATCAAGATGGCAAGGAAGTGGCAAAAGCTGGCTGCCATGGGAAGAAAACGAATAACGGTCCCAGGAAAGAATGACTATGAGGAAGCTAGTACCAGTAGCCATTCATCAAATTCTTTGGCTAAGAAAGGCCAGTTTATTGTGTATACTACTGATAAAAAGCGATATGCTTTCCCCATAACCTATCTCAACAATTACATATTGAGGGAGCTACTCATAATGTCAGAAGAAGAGTTTGGACTACCAAGTCATGGACCAATCACATTGCCTTGTGATGCTGTATTTATGGATTATGCAATTTCTTTGATCCAAAAGAAAGCAACTAAAGAAGTTGAGAAAGCTTTGCTTTTGTCCATGGCTGCTTATAGATGTTCATCGTCTTATCAATTCCATGAGTTAGAGACAACACAACATTTGATGTTATGTAGTTGTTGAGTTTGTAATTATTGCTTCAATGTGAATGCATCAAAGAAATTCGTTGATTCACGCTGAAAGTCCTAAATGGCAGCTTATGCTATGGAAACATACACTATTGTTTTCATTCTATAATTCAAAATGCAGTTAGCTGCCATTAATTCTATTGACTGCATATTCTGACCATTCACCAGTCAATAATTTATTCTCCACCACAATCCACAAACCCAATTGCTCGTCTATTCATTTAGGTTGGTGATTGAATAAGACCGTTTAAGGAATAGGTATAAATTATAAGTGACGGTATTGGGTAGAAATTATAAAAATATAAAAATATCAATTATTATATGTTTTCTTATCCAACATAAAGTCATTTCTAATCTCGACATTATGTTATATGGTTCACATTGAAACTTGTTTCTTTTATGATTATCTTTTCTACTTTCTTTCTTGTGAAAGCATCTCTCTTTGACATTTCCTCTTTCGCCACTTCTACCTCGCTATATGGGTAATGTTAGTTAGCACCACGAGTATTTAACATTAGTCTAGGTATCATTATTAGTGACATTAAATTACAAGTTTAATTAAATACAAAGAATTGTAGCCAATTTAATATGACATAGGATATGCTGACGCTTAGATTATTGTTTAACATCATTGGTATTAGATAACATTATTCATTCATTTATGAATGATATTTAGCCCCAGGGGTTATAATCTCATTTTAGGTGATGTTAATGTGACATTGAATAATAGATAAAATTAAATAAGTCATTTATGCATCCACTCTTCATTTATGCATCCACTCTTCTGTCTTACCTACCTAACAAAGCATTATTTAAGCACCCCAAGGATGGCCAATCTCATATGAAGGATGCTACTTCCACGCATTTTCAAGCTAGGAAAAAGAGGTAAAGCAGCCAACCAATTTTGTCAACGATTATGTGTACATAGGGTTTGACATAATGTGCACACCTATGTACCGCTAGTTTGTCAAAGTGTTTCCATTTTCTCATAAACAGTCATCAGCATTTTGCATGAATTAATTTCCTAACCCCTTCTATTACTATTTACATTCCACTTGTGTTAAACATGGTACAATTTACTAAATAACACGTTATAAAATCTATATAATTCTCAGCATAATTGTAAGGAAGAGGGAGGAGTAGAAAATATCAAAAGATATTTCATCAAAATCATATTGTAAAGATATAAAATGGGGGACATTGATGGAGGAAACTCTGCTCCGTTAACTCCTCGGCCAGCATCTTTGGCTCCAACACCACCTATGGCCCAAACTCCGTCCATAATAGTATCGGCTCCTCCTTCGCAATTCCATTCCCCATCTTTATCCCGCTCACCACTCCTAACTCCAGGTGGTACTGTGAGGAAAACCCCAAGATTTCGAACTCCAAGGTTCATTACTCCCTTGGGAAGCCCTATAAGGAAGGCCCTTAAACTCACAAAGCTCGACCCACAAGATGCTTGGCTTCCAATTACTGAGTCCAGAAATGGAAATGCATACTATGCAGCTTATCATACCTTGTGTTCTGGGATTGGAATCCAGGCCCTTGTACTCCCCGTCGCCTTCACCATTCTTGGCTGGTAATATGTCTATCAGGTTTTTTAAATTCATATAATATATTATATATCCATGAATTATGAGTTATATTCAGTAATAGTATATCTTTCTGATTGTAGGACGTGGGGTGTCATTTGCTTAACACTGGCATTTATATGGCAGCTATATACACTATATTTACTGGTACAACTCCATGAATCACACGAAAATGGTATCCGATACAGTAGATACATGCAATTAGCAAGTGCAACTTTTGGTGAAAAACTCTCCAAGTTCTTGGCTGCGTTTCCAATCATGTATCTATCAGGAGGTACATGCGTGGCTCTGATTGTGATCGGAGGTTCAACTTCTAAGATGTTCTATCAGACTCTGTGTGGAGCCACATGCACCTCTAAGCCATTGACCACCGTGGAGTGGTACCTGGTATTTACATGTGCGGCAGTGCTTCTGTCTCAGCTGCCAAACATGAACTCCATTGCCGGTGTGTCGCTGATCGGGGCTATTACTGCCGTCGGTTATTGCACCATGATATGGGTGGTGTCCGTGGCTGAGGGCAGGCTACCTAATGTGTCGTATAGCCCAGTGAGAGCTGGCACGGAAATTGTTAGGATTTTTGATGTTTTGAATGCACTTGGGATCATTTCTTTCGCTTTCAGAGGCCATAATCTCATTCTTGAAATCCAGGTGAACATGCTTATTAGTTATCCAAAATTCCCAGTAATTGTATATCTATATGAATAGGATATGCTTGTAATTGATTAGAATTATGCAGTAGTTTTTAAATTAAATCATCAGGTTCTTCTTACACACAGTCGTAAAGACTTCGAAAAATTCAGTACACAAAGTCTTCCGTAACAAATTTACATTGAACTTCAATGTACTTCCCCTTTAGAAAAAAGGGAAAAAGAAGAACTGTTAGTGCTTTGACGTTTGACCAACCTAATTTGCGTGTGTACGGGATGAATTTGACTTTCTTTTTTCTCTATAATTTTGAATATGAAGACAATAATTAGCCGAAAATCATGAATTTTTTTCTGTTGACTGTAATATTAAAATGTCATATTTTGACTGCTACAGGCTACCATGCCTTCTGATGAGAAGCATCCCTCGAGCGTGCCAATGTGGAGAGGCGTAAAATCTGCATATTCAATCGTAGCATTGTGCTTATTCCCACTTGCTATTGGAGGCTATTGGGCTTATGGTCACATGGTAATTAATTCAACAAAATGAAAGTCCAATTTAAATCTTTGTTCAAAATACTGACTGGTTTTACATATTCGACAGATTCCAGCCAACGGTGGGATGCTAACAGCATTGTACACGTTTCACAGTCAAGATGTTGCACGGTCGGTGTTAGGGTTGATAAGTTTCTTCGTCATAATTAATGCAATGAGCTCGTTCCAAATTTACGGTATGCCAATGTTTGACGACATGGAATCAAATTACACAAAGAGGTTTAAGAAGCCATGCCCATGGTGGCTCCGATCAATCATTAGGGCTATGTTTGGATACGGGTGCTTCTTTGTTGCGGTGGCAATTCCATTCCTGGGTAGTGTGGCTGGTTTAATCGGAGGAATTGCATTGCCGGTGACTTTGGCTTATCCATGTTTCATGTGGCTTAAGATGAAGAAACCAAAGATGTATAGTCCAACATGGTGGCTTAACTGGGCATTGGGTCTTATTGGAATGGGATTGAGTGGAATTTTAATTGCTGCTGGTTTGTATGTTGTGAGAGACACTGGTATTCAAGTTAGTTTCTTTAAGCCTCACTAATAAATGGAGACAAAATCAAATTTAGTGAAGGGATAAAAATGTGTGTTACCTTTATTTCTTTTTTCACTTTCTTGTTTTCACCTTTTCGGGGTGAAAACAAGATAAAATTAATTATATTTGTTACTTGTAATTTCGTTTCGTTATTGTACTTCCGGTATTAATGTGGGCAACACCTATGCTTGAATGACAAACCATGCTATCATCACTAACATAATAATAGACCATGATCGAGTCTAAGCATCTCGAGTTCCATTCGCTATAACTACTGAACTTGTGTGAAGTAGTCGGCCATTAGATATTGTTGAACAAAGAAACCTCGGTTTGAGCCAAGCAAAAGTTGATCTGGAGGATTCGAAACTCAAGCCAAAGTTTACATGCGTAATCTGGAATGACACTAGGCAGCCTAAAATATTTCCAGCTTGATCTTTGCGTGGTTCCAAGCATTTGTGCTTGAAGTTGTAATATGTCAAATTTTTAACAGTTCAAAGCCGATGAATTAATGCATAACCTTATTTGTCCCAACAAATTAGTTTGGTAATGAGAAAACCTTGACTTGTGTTTCAAAGTTGTCAACTGATGCTAAAAAAAATGTACATGTTGATTTTCGAGCTTGATGATTGAGAATAAATATGAACAGAATCTTCACGTATCTAAAACAAAGGTGTCGAGGTATGTCTTCATCGTTCATCCGATAATTAAGTTAGAAATTGAATTTATGCATGAGGTTATAAACTGAAAATTATGTAAAAATGTACTTGAATAATAAATTAAAGTCTTACATTTATAAAGGTATGTAGCATACTCCTAGTAGGTTTTGTTGGGAAAATCGCCTCAAATGCAGGAATTGAGATTAACGACACACTTTGAAATATAAAAGATCACAACAATTGAAAACAATATTAAAGTAAAAGAAGAAGAGAAATTGCAGAGGAATCGATGTTTATTCAGTAACAATATGGAGAGAAATTACAAGAACTTAACAATGTTGACTTCTTAAACTGAAAGAGGAGCATCCCTATATATACTACACGTACAAAACCCTAAGGATATGTCAGAATAGGGAAAGAATGAAGAAAACGTGTAAAATAAAAATTGTGCCAAAAAACTTGGATACAAATTGATACATTTCCAAGTTTGATTCAACCATGTTTTCTTCATATGGTAACCCGAATTTGGGTCACCAACCCCAACGGATTTGAACTAGTTGAATACCTTTTTTTGGTTTGGGTCATAGGGCGTTCAGAAGTCTTGCCCTATCTAGGAATTGTTATTTGTTAGGAATTAGGCAACTAGTGTTTGGATGAGGATGCAACTCTCATGGTAGAGTTCCACCACAATAGGACAAAAGAGAATAGTAAGACACAATCTTATCGGAGTTGAATAAGTCTTATCTTGTGGAAAAGTTTTAATGAATTAGGTGATGTTAGACACAAAGTCAAGGCATATGCCCTACGATACCGAAGGCATCGAGCTCGAGGAGGTCAGAGAGGAGGTCATAAAATGGGCAATATTCAACCTCGGGCTAATGTCCTCAGATCATGACAATTATTGGCTACATCATCAACCATCCTGACTTAAAGCAACGAATTTTTGTTTCGATCATGATAGTGGTACATCGAGCGTTACATTGGGGGTTAACCCCCCCCCCCCCCCTTCACATGGGGGATGGGGTCCACACGAATAAAAAAATATTATTTCAATGGGTCTTACCCCTCATGTGAGGGGGGGCGTAACCCTTGATGTACAAACTTTGATATACAACCATCATTATCCTTTTTGTTTTCATGGTAACTTCAAATAATGTTCGACCTCAATTTTTCTAAAATTCATTTTTTTTCAAAACTCATTTCTAATTACACATTTTTCCATAAAATAATTTTACAAGTAAATTTAATTTTTTTTATTTTTTAATCACGTGTTCTTCGAAAAATCTCTATTTCAAAATACATTTTTCCTATAAAAAAAAAAAACTCAAATAGGAGGTTTTTATATGCAAATGTACATTCATTTGATGGAAATTTGAGCCTTTTAAGAGAATCATTTGTCGGTTGGTCCAAGAATTGCTTTTGCCTTTAGTACAAGCATTTGTGTATGAAAACACTCAACGAGTATCATTTTAATAAAAAATAAACCGACAAAATCCTCGGAACCTAGCTACCATTTCAACCATGCTACAATTTATGTTTCCAAGGCTCCCCGAATTCAATCTATTTCCAGAAAAGCTTGTGAACACGTTGTACCTCACTATTGGTGTTAACCGTCCAAACCGACATTTCTAATTTTCTATGATTGTCGTGACCAACATTGAACCCCTGCCTACAATGTTCGAGGTTTTCGTACATAAATCTCCAATGTTGATAAATTATCTACTGCAAGGATATATTAAATTCATTAAATAAAACTTATGCACAGTACTCGTTTGTCGATTATCACACCTATACAAGTCCACCAGACTGGAATGCAAGTTCACTCAGCTTGTGCATCTCGCAATCATGATATATATCCACATTATCACTTCATTTTCATCTTAATCTATCTCCAATGCAAACATAATGGCAGAGCAATACCCTCAAGGCCATGTCAATAACACTTCTTCGGTGCCTCCACCAGAGACCAAAGAGCGTGGATGTTTCAATTTTATGAGAAAGGAGGAAGAAAAAACTCAAGTTGATATTGTAATGAAAGATTTTCACACTGTAAAAGGGAGCAAAGAGGGGCAAAAACACACTCTGATGGATGAGCTACAACATTCTCATAGCCACTCAAGCTCGGTAAATTTCATAATTCTAACCATCTTTTTTTCCCGAATGATGTTTCATCAACCATCTGTTCAGGATAATTTACTGTCCATTTTATTGTTCAAATTTTCAGTCTAGCGAGGAGGAAGTAGAAGAGGGCGGAGAAAGGAGAAAGAAGAAGAAGAAGAAGGGTCTAAAGGATGCTATCAAGGATAAGATATCTGGAGATGAAGGAGAAGACTCTGTGCACAAAGACACGAGCATTCCCGTTGAGAAATGTAATGAAGAAGCAAACGCTGAAACAGCTAAGGCAGAAGAAAAGAAGGGCTTTCTGGAGAAGATCAAAGAAAAACTTCCTGGCCAACACCAGAAGATTGAAGGCACTGAAACTCCAGATGCATATGAGCATTCCCCAGGAAGCGATGTAAAGGAGAAGAAAGGGATAATGGACAAGATCAAGGAGAAGTTGCCCGGGCATCCTAATGAAAAGGAAGACTAATTGCCCAGCAAAAGTGCGAAAATGATTCTAGATGTAACTCCCTTTGTTAGGTTATATTTGTTGCACTGCCTGATAAGAAGAAAAACTCACTACTGAGTACGAGTTTTCTTCATCTTCTCTTCAATTCGCTTCTCAATCTATGTCACTATGTCGTATCTTATGAGTGTATTTTATCTACTATGCTTTCCATCATGTTTTCCACAGGACCTTCCTTTCGTTGAATCTGTATGCATATAAAGATTAAATTTATCATTTCATGCTTGGATACACTCCAACACGTACCAATACATGTTTTTTAATTTTTTTTTATGCTAATCAAACACATTATGACAAGAAAATTTTATTATTTTTAAACTCTTTTATAACTCATTATAATTATCAATGAATGACAAAATATTTTTACTTGACAGATAACTATTGTTATCAGCAATAATTTATTAAAAATAGATCATATTTATTAATTAACCATTTTATAAGAAATATATTTAGCACTCATTTAGTTGGTGTGTATTAAAATAGGATTTGTAGTAGCTTTTTGATAAAAATCGATTAAATGTGTGATTAAAAATAAACTAGAATTTTATTATTGAAAATAGATAATAGTATTAATTCTTTTAGTACATATAAAATTTTTATTAATAGTTGATAATAGTTTTATTATTGAAAATAAATAGTAGTATTAAAATTTTTAACATTTATAATTTTGTAAATAATTAACAATTATATTTTTGTTATTGAAAAATAATTAATGGTATTAAATTTTTTAATACATATTCTATTTTTTTTTTCTTGAAAAACTTGTATGCATCGATATACTCGAATATTTTTTTTTTCGAATCCATGCTTCTTAGCTGTATGAAAAAGGTTCATGATTTGGACTTGTAGACCAAAAACTTTTGTTAATTACCCTCTAGAAAATCAAACTTACTACAATGACAATCTCAATAATGGATTCTGGATTCAAAAACATGAGGAACATATGATTAGACAGTTTGAAAAAAAAGAAAAAAAACAGTCATGTGCTTTCACCTCACCCTGTCAAAAGCCCCTAATCAAGGAACATTATTCTTAAAAAATAAACATGCTACAATGACAAACTCAATGATGGATTCAAAAATAAGAATAATACGTGTCAACATATAATTGGACAATTTAAAAAAAAAAAAACTCTCAAGTGCTGCCACCCCCCATCTTGTCACCCATCCTTGTCAGAAGCCTTTGTTCAAGGAGCATTATTCTTAGAAAACAAACTTACATAGGCTCAATGATAGATTCAAAAACAGGGAGGATACGTGTCAACACGATTGGATTGTTTGGGGAAAAAAACCCACCAAGTCAACCCTATCACCCCACCCTATCAAAAGCCCTTGTTCAAGGAGCATTATTCTAAGAAAACAAACTTGTTATAGTTACAGACTCAATGACAGATTCAAAAACATAGATGACACATGTCAACACATGATTGGACGGATTTAAAAAAAAAAGTCAAAATCCCCTATTCAAGGAACATTATTCTTAGAAAACAAGCTTACTAGTTGCTACGGTGATAAATTCAATGACGGATTCAAAAGCTGAAGAAACACGTGTCAATATATGATTAAACAGTTTGCAAAAAAAACACATGTTGCCACCCCACCCCTATCAAAAGTCTTTGTTCAAGGAGCATAATTCTTAGAAAACAAACTTGCTACAGTGACAGATTCAAAAATTGGGAGAACATGTGTCAATACATGATTAGACAGTTAAAAAAAAGGTCAAGCGCTGCCACCCCACCCCTGTCAGCTAACAAATGTAGATTTTGGCACAAATAAAATTACAAAAGAAAAGCAAATACAGGTGCACCAGAAAATCAACGGTATCACGAGACCATCCTAATACTAAAAAACTGTCCCTTAGACGGGTAACACCTACTTATAAACACAAGAACCAGATCTTGTCAAATTAACAGGCTTGCCTAGATGGTTACTTCTCAGAGTGACTTCACATAAGATACTTCTATAGAACTTCGGGTTTACCAGCCTCCCCAGAATGTAGGCCCTTGACCTCATAATAAACGTCAGGTTTAGAGGCACAGCTACACTCTCAAGATGACCTTTAGCGCCATTAAGCACTGGAATTCCACCATAAAGTGGCACCTGGTACCCCTGAATTAAAGCTATCACCGTCCTTTGACTCTTTCTTGATTGATAGAAATTCTTCATCTGCTCATTTCATCATATAAAGCAATAAAGGACAATGAAGTAAATCCAAGTAGAAGAACGCAATTTCTACAAGATAACATGAAAAACAAAACCCCAGTGCTTTAATGAAAAGAAAGAAGACATTCCTGTAAACAAGGCTATGCTTAGAGCTCCAGGGGAGTGGCATCGCAGACATTCGAAATGTAACTACACGTTATATGATGAGAATATGAAATTTTAACAAGGAATTGACTACTGTTTATAAAATCATGGCAATATGAACTGATAAACAATTTGTAGAATCAAAGACTGAATCCTAGTCAATAGGCAGAATAAGTACAATCACTTCTACATGTGTAGCATAAACAACGATGATGCATTCATATTTAACATTGTCAAGGTGATGAAGTACAATATGAGTCACGGGACAATTGACAAGAGATATAAGAAATTAACTTGTATTAATAATGGGACTCTAACTTAAGACCATCGTCGAACCAGAAATAAGTATAGGGTAAATTTGATGACTTCAGGCAGGAATGAAAAAGGTAGTTCAAATTCACGATAACCTTTTGATCAAATACTATATCATAAATCGTTGAATATGCAAAATTTAAATTGTTTAGGGACTTGATATTTTCCTTTCACTGCCCCCAATCTCTTGTACTTTGTTTCTATTTAGTGAACCAAAAGGTAGTTCAAGTTAAATCAATAACCTTACATTCAAATACTAATTCAAATCATCAAATATCCCTAAGACCATATTTAATTAAGAATTCCCCTCTGATTGCACCAAATCAGGGGCGAATCTACGGTGGGAGTAGTGGGGTCCGCTGTCCTCACACTAAATTTGAAACCTCAGATTTTGTAATAGATATTTCAAGATTTTACTCAGGATTTTCAAAAAGTTTTACCTTATAATTTTCAACTTTTTCCCCCACAATTAAAATTTTGTGAAATTTGCCCCCAACAACTCTACTTTCGTGGCTCCGCCCCTGCTCCAAATCTCTTATACACGATGATTCCAAAAGTATGATGACATGGTTAAGGTTGCTTCAAGGTATTACTCTCCACATCTTCTTCTAAATCTAGTGATTACTAGAATCACTCTTACACCAAATCACCCTATCTTATCCCATATAAGTGGCGAGAATGCAAGGCATAAAGATATAACAATTTAGCCACATTTCACAATCATAAGCATCCCTCTCTTTCTGAATTGTCGGAGACCTTCCCCGTCACTTTTTTGGTGTCGAGACACCGATAACAGTATAGAAGTCGAAGAAACAACTTCGACTCAGTATTCGTGCTGGCAATTTCCTGGCAACATGATAGACCCAAAAATTTGTTTTTCATGTTATTCCTTTCATCCTAAATGCAATGGTCCGGAGTTCTAGACCTCATTAAATTAATGTCATTCTGTGAATGAATGTTCACAGGCTTTGGTAAAAGCAGCTTTTTTAGTATTCAAAATCACAGAGACCTAGGTGATAATGAACTTACACCTAGACGCTCACCCCCATTAACTCCGTCCTTCTCTTTTTCTCTTTCCTTCTCTCTTTAAATGCAAAATCTACTAGCTCTCAACCTCTGCTAGTTGGCACCATATTAATCATTTAATTCTCAAACCCAAAAAATCGTTCAGTAATTTACTAGCACCAATCACACTGTCCATCCTATTTGGGTAGAACCCAGCACCTTTTACGGGCAATAGGGTACAATTAAATTGTTACATCAAGCAAAATGGAGTTATTGTTAAAACATAAAAGCCTTACATGACCAGAAGCCAGTTTGAGGTCATAATAGTGAAATTCAAGGGGTGAAGAAGTGACATGAACACCAAAGAAGGTGGCTGGGTTCCTGTATAAAATCTTCACAGTTGAATTCAAAGTTAACATGTCCGTTGGTACACCCGTGCCATCCATTCCAGCTTGTACATTAAAATTCTCAAAAGCAATGTTCTGCAATACCCTCAATTGTATAAGAAAGATGCAGTCTGACACACTGACAAAAGTTGAATGCTGTAATAATTAAGGATAATTGTACAACAGCGACTCTACATACAGAAACGTTATCTCAATTATCATCAACTTTATCGCATATTCCTAGTTTAACTCAGGCAATTATATCGCCGAGTTGACTCGGGACTAACATGAACGCACCTTAACGATAATTTTGGGTTTGTAAGGCACACTGGCAGCCCAAAGAATCAAGGAGAAAACGGTGAACAGAACCACAAAAGAGAACAAAAAGCACACCACGTAGAACCTCAGGGCACCACCATCGGACACATCATCTTCAACGTCATGTTCCTCATCATCTTCTTGGTCTCCCATTTCATCGTATTTTCTTTGCAGCCGCCGCCAGCCGCTGACGGCGTTTCTCGGGTTTTTCAAAGATGCGGAGAATCTTGAAGTGGACGACTCGCGGGAGTGGTGAATGGGGGAGCAATGGTAGTGATGGGTCGGGGAACCGAATGGGCTCGACCCGTATGACATTTTTTCAAGATCTTGCTGTGAGTGTGATGGGCTCTGCACGTAGTACAATGGCCGCCGTGGAGACCGCGGTGGCGTTGAAGCTTCAATGCTTGTAACCTCTGAATCCGATTTTGCATGCATTGTCACTCCCATTGTTTCAGTTCTTTACTCTTGAGGAAAGAACAGTTTTTTGCATTTATGCGTTGAAAGGGGAATTTTGATGTTGAAGAAGAAAGGAGGACGAGAGCAGTATTTAATGCAAAAATGGAAGGTTAATGTGCTGGACGCGGTATTGAATGTGAATGGTTTCTGTTTCAGATTTTGGACGGGTTTGTTTGTCTGATTTTGAGTTTTCCTAAATTATGCGGCTTCTATGGGCACTTTGTGCGTGATTTTTACGCCTTTTCCATTCTTGTCTACTCTTGTGGAAATTGGGTTTTAGTTAAGAGAAAATTACATGAGGGATCTTCAACTATGAACAATATTACAAGTCTAATCTATACTTCGACTCAAATTATTACTTTATAATATAGATACTTTATAATTTCTTTAAAAAAAATTTGACTCAAATTATTACTTTATAATATAGATATACTTTAATTATTAAGTCTAATCAATTTATTTATAACATTTATATTTGGGCAATCTAAGAACTGCTCTTTATTCTTTTAAGAGTTCGAAAAATACTTTTCTTTTGGGGTCAAAATAGTTCTAGGTCTAAAAATCATTATTTCCAAACTTTTGCATAACTTTCGCCTAAATTTGGAGCTTGTATTTACCGTTCAATCATGTTTTGCGAATAAATTTCAACTTGTTTCCCTTAATTTCGTAAAAAAACTTGAAACTTGATCATACATACATGATTGAAAATGTATTTTTCCTTATTATTTTGGATTGTATTTGATGACATTTTCAAATGTAAATGACTTTTGCATTTTAGTACATTTATATATAAATTTAAATTCTTTAATATTATTTGATTAAATATTCATAAACAAATTTACTATTACGACGTCAACGATCACCCAGCTCACTCAATTTCTTGAATTCGTCGCTGTGTGGAAGTGTCAAGGTTGGTTTGCTCTATTCACTCGTCTATTCTATTTATTTATTTATTATTATTATTATTATTATCCCAACAGAAAAGTAAATGTTGTGAGACCAACCATTTGGAACATACTTGTTATCATGTTATGTAATAAAAAATTGAGGAGTCAAAGTTAGCTTCTACGTATCTCATAGACTACAATATGAAAAATAACTCTACTCTATCAGGCTTTGTATCACAGGTGTTTTACAGGCTCTCTCTCAATGGGGTGGGCCCCTCGTGCAATAAAAAATGCCCAAAAAATACCCCCCCCCTGAATGTGAGTAGCCTGG